AGAATAAAATACACGGACGGAAAAGATGATTATTAATGGATTCTCTATTGCTCATTGATGATGATCACTTTGATAAAGACATAATATAATGTCAAGTTGCTTCATATATAGTGCCTTTTACATGCAAAATGTGACAATAATAAATATCCATTGTCAACATTAGTCAACTATCTTTGACACACACACACACATATATATATATATATAACTAATTAAATTCTCAAACTGGATTCTCCGTTAAAAATAGAATAGATATCTTGTTTAATCTTGCATGGAAAGAATTTATTTATTGTACCAAATGTTTGGTTACACATCTTATTCCTCTTAACTTTTTTATAACATGGGTATTCAAACCCCATTCATCTTAAATTTAAATATAAAATCTTTAATTTAAAAGTCTCATACTTAAATTTAGAATTAATATTCATAAAATGAAATTGAAAACTTTTCCTACCAAGGGACTCATGTTGATGAAGAGGAGAAGTTTGGGTTTATCCGAATAGAGAGGACACCTTTTGTTTTTTTTTGGCCATAGTAAGATTCGTGTGTGTTCAATTGAAGAAAACCAAAAAGCCAAAAAGATGCCATAACTAAAGCTATATTGCCCTAACTTAGCCTCCAAACATCATACCAACATTGACTCCGTATATTGGTCCGTACAATGGAGAAGGAAGATGAAGAAGAAGAAGATGCCTCCAAGGACCCACAATTTTATCTATACTTGGGAATGAAGCTGAGATATTCTCCATGTTTTTACATGCACTAAACTATTGGCAAATGCTGACAGTGTGTAAATTAAAATGAAAAATGATTATTGTAGTTTTCAGTTTAAGACACTTATTAACACCTATCGGTTCAATTATTAAAATATGAAATTTTAAATTTTTGTGCTTTTAATTTAAATTTGAAAATAATAATTTTTTAATAAATATATTGTAAAATGTGTTGAATTAGAGAATATACCATTTCTTGTCCAGTTACAATAGAAATACTTAAAGGCACGTTTTCTATTTAAATGTCCATCTAATATGGTATTCTGCATCTAATCGTTGGTATTTATAAGTGTATGTAGGTCAGTTCGAAAGCACCGGAAACGTGACTAAAAAGTTGTGCTTTTCTTTGGATCAAAAGGTAGATTCGGTGCCGATCAATTGTTCTATGATTTTCCTGATTAGGATTCCTAAACACACACACACAGACATATATATATACTGTATAACACTTTCTGCGAATTATAAAAAATATTATCAGTATATATGATAAAGCTAAAAGTTTGAAATTGATTTTGGTTTCTAGAAATGAGAATTTGCGTGGAAATATTGGTGTACTTCATCACATTGTACGCGTAAACGGGTGATAGAATCATTTTATTGTTTGGGATTGACATTGCTCTAATATGAAGGAGACCGAGAGCCAGCAAGAGACTAGAGGATAGTATGGATAAGAATAGTTGCGGGTATCTAATAGACATGCTTGGTAATATGGTTGTGAAATTAAAAAGAAGAAAAAAAACTTAAAAAATATTTTTTAAAAGTAGATAAATTTAAAAGAAATAAAAAGAATTAAAAAAAAAAAAGAAAATTCTTCAAGAAGAAAAAATTTAAAAAATTTAAAAATTATAAGAAGAATCTACCATGCCCATCAAAAAACCAAAGTCAGAATGCATAAGTTGGCTATGCAAGGAAAAAGGACATATGAGCAGTGCTCGGGGCACTCGCCTCCTGCACTCTCCGGCAAACACTCGTCCTTTCATTGGGCCACGTTATCTTAGTTCGGCAAGAGGTTGCACTTTAGAGCTTAAACAGCCTTACGTGGCCCAATGAAAGGGGGAGTGTTTGCCGGAGAGTGCAAGAGGCGAGTGCCCCTAGCACTGCCCAAGTACATATAACACCTGATTGCTCAAAGAAAAATCCAAAAGCGAGTATAAAGATAATATGAGCATTTGAAGAGTTGGATTTAGAAATAGAAATAATATTTGGAAGTGAAATATCAAAAAGTGAAAGCATTTATGAATGGAATGAATCTAGTAATGAGTCTGAAGATGAGTCTGAAGAGAAAGTCATAGGAATGATGAAAGAAGCATTGGCATCAACAACCTCTATAGGGATGACTTCAAAAATTACCTCATTAGGAACCCTATATGAATCTCATGAAAGCATGGAAATTGATGAAGAAATTGATGGAGAAGCTATTACAAGGAAGTTATGTAAAAAAGACAAAAAAGACGTATACAAAGGAAGTAAATGGAGCCTCAATATAGATAGTTTCAAGGGAGTAACGATGGTAGAGCAAACTGAGGAAGAAAGTGTAATGATTTCGTTATTAGATCCTAAAAGTATAGAGAAGTATAGAAATAAGTACAACTTTGCCCACATAGGATTAATCTAAATAGGGGCATGTCCTTTGTTTAGAAGAGGAATTGATACACCAATATTGGTGTGCATATTAGATTGTAGACATCTGAACCTAAAAGATGCAATGATAGGAGGCATACATTCTAATTTATATAATGGACCTTTCATGTTCAATGTGTCCAAACTATCATGTAAGTTTAAGAGATAGAAACCTACATAAGAGTTTAACTATAAAAATCCAAACCAAAAATATTAATATGCTAAAAGGTAGCCATAATTTATCACTACATTATAGAATAATTGTATAGATTAGTTAACACTACAAATATGAAGTTTAGAAGAGAACCTATAGACACCATTCTATGGGAAAGTAAGATGCCTCATGCACAAAGACTAATGCCTAGAACATTAGCATGGAAAGATCTCACTATTCCAACCAAATGGTTATTAGAAGACAAACTTAGACCCTCAACTTCAAGACCAAATAGAGAACTAGAATTAGCTACTACTAAAAGATGGATGAGTGATAGTAATAAACCTAGAAGAAAAGAGAAAGGATAATAAAATAGTAGGATATAAGGAAGTTAAGCTACCTATAAGAGAAGGGAGATCTACAATACAAGAATATGACCGGATGCTAGAGTGGTTAAGAAAAAGAAATCTCACTATCAAGCCTAGTTAATGGAGCAACATTTAAGAGAGCAACAACAAGCACAAGTAAAATCCATTTATGAATGCCATGGTGAAGAAACAAAAAGGATGAAACAACTCATAAATTCAATCAAGCCTTCTAAAAATAGTTCATATATAAAACTTAAGTTTGAACCTAATGGGTATCACTCATATACTATAGATGCGTTAATAGATACAGGAGCTGCCTATACATGAGCTAAGCCAAATGTTCTTCTAGAAGATCATTAGGTCAAAGTTCTTGCAAAAAGGCTAGTAGCAGCGAATGGACAGATGGTAGAACTTAATTATTTAGCTAGAAATGTTCCAGTATACTTAGAAGAACAAGTATTTGTCATAGAACATTTGTTCAACATGCAGATTATATTGATGAAAGAAAATGTATATTTAAAGTGTGCTTAACCAATGACATTTGTGGAATTATGGGCTTAAGAGTTGTATTTTTTTATAAGTAATTTCATAAGTGTTCATTTTATTCATGTTGTGTGAATTTTGTGGTGATTAAAGGTTTGATGTTAAATGGAGAAGAATTAGAAGAAAAGGACTTAAATGCAAAGAGCTAGAAAGATGAGGATTTAAGGATAAATCTGGAACTTTGAAGGCTCAAGTGAAATTTCTCCATTTTTCATTAAGAGCAAAGTTAGCAAAGTCCGTGAAGTTGCTGTGACTAGCGCGAAAGGATTTCCAATAGCATCAGGGGTTTGGCAACCTGTTTCAGGTTCCAAACCTTGGGCAGTGTTGCACAAAACAGAAGCATCAGGGGTTCTGCACCCTCACAGAGGTTTCAACCCCTGTCCGACAAGGCTGTACGGGAAGAAAGGAAAAAAATAAAATTAATTCCTCAAAACTGCTATCCTAGTTACCAAACACTCCTATTTTATTCCTAATATAAATAGGGGTCTTTAAAACTAGGTTTAGCATCTAGAGAAGCAATTCATAGACTTTTATTTTCTTCTTTTTCAGTGTTAGAAATTATGTCTAAGTGTAGCTAAACTTTCAACAAGGTTAGGGAGAATCTTAATTGAGGAGTTTGACTTGTTATTTTATTTTGATTCCTTCATAGATTTTATTGTTTAATTTTATTTTTGAGAGATTATTAATTATTTTTTCAGATTTGAAAACCTTAAGAATTATATTTATAAAATTTCATATAAGATTAGTCCTACAGCATCCAAATGGCTTCAAATGTTTCCTATCATATAACAACTCCTCAAAGTGTGGCTGTAAAAATTTTCTATGTCTATCCTGCAGAACATTAGAAATAGATGAAACATTAGACTGATCATTAATAGGATAGTTCAAAAAGTCAACATCCAAATCATAGTCACCAAGGAGGTATTCTAAAGATTCAATATGTTCCCTTTCATATACTTCCTCAACTAGTGAATCTATCATGTAGGTTTGATAACACTCGTCATCATCATGTAGTTGCTTCCCAACATGAAAAATATTCACCTCAAGAGTCATGTTCCCAAATGAAAGTTTCATCAAACCATTCCTACAATTAATGAGAGCATTAGCAGTAGCAAGAAATGACCTTCCTAAAATAAGTGGAATCTTTGACTCACTATTAATTTTAGATTGAGTATCTAAAACAAGAAAATCAACGGGATAATAAAATTTATCAATCTGAAGCAAAACATCTTCTACTATCCCTCTTGGTTTCCTACAAGAACAATCAGCCAACTGTAACACCATAGATGTGGGTTTTATCTTTCCAAGACCTAGTTGCAAATAAATCGAATAAGGCATTAAATTCACACTTGCTCCTAGATCCAAAAGAGCTTCACTGAACTCTTGTGACCCAATTTGGCAAGCAATTGTTGGGCACCTTAGATCTTTGTACTTTGGCGGTGTTCTCTGCTCAATCACCGCACTTACCTGTTTTGTCAAGAATGCAGTTTTCTTGACATGGTGTTTCCTTTTCATGGTGCATAGATCCTTGATCACTTTGGCATAAGTTGGTACTTGTTTAATCACATGCAACAAAGGTAGATTAATCTTTACTTGTTTCAAATTTTCTAAAATCTCACCTTGGTTGTCTGAAATCTCTCCAATTTTAAGAGCCTAAGGGAAAGGAACTCGAATTGGGACCTCTTTCTCAGGTTCTTCCAACAGGTCGTCTTCATGGCTTGGAGTAGGGTCCTTCAATTTAGGTGCTTTTTGCAATGGCTCTATAACCTTACCAGTACAAGTAGTGATTGCGTTGACCCCTTTAGTGTTCTCTGAACTAGAGGTAGATTCTTGCACCAAATGTAAATTTTTAGGATTAGTTTGAGGTTGAGATGGAATCTTACCTCGCTCTTGGATAGTAAGAGCATTGGTCAACTTAGTTAGTTGACTCTTGATATCCTTGTTTTCTTCAACCACTTGTGTAAGAATAGAATCACACTTTTGGTTAGTCTTAGTCTATGCCTCCATAAATGCCTTAAGTGTTGCCTCTAATGGATTTCTATCTGGTTGTGCATTGTATTGAGGTGTTGGGTAAAGCCTGAGTGGTTGAGCTTCACTATTCCAAGTATTGCTAGATGATGTGGGATGGTTTTGATTAGCCTTCCAACTAAAATTGGGATGGTTCCTCCAACTAGGATTGTATGTCTCTGAATAGGGTGAAAAAGGTTCCCTACCCATTCCTAATGCATTAGATTATTCTTCATACACCCCTCTCATCTCACCATAGGTTAGGTAATCCTGATCTAAATGGTCTAATCCCCCACAAACAAAACATGGAACCTAAGTTCCTACCTTAGCAACTGTGTGGATAACTCTATTATTTTTCATCTTTAAGATCTCAAGTTCCCTAGTTGCAACTTCCAATTGAGCTTTAAGGTTATCTTCCTCCTTAAGGTGGTAAATCCCAGATGATCGTGACCTACTAGTACTATTAGTGGCACTAGGTCCTGTCCAAGTGTGAGCTTTTTCAACTAACTCATTTAAATAATCTATGGCTTCTTCTGGGTCCTTATGCAAAAATTCCCCATTACACAGCATCTCTATGAATTGACACTCCCTACTAGTTAAACCCTCATAGAAATAACTAACCAACCTCCAAGTTTCATACCCATGACGTGGACACAAGTTTTGTAATTCTTTAAACTTCTCCCATGCTTGGTATAAGGTTTCACTATCCTTTTGAGAAAATGTGGAGATATGTCTTTTAAAATTATTAGTCTTATGATGTGGAAAGTATTTGTTAAAGAAAGCTTGAGTCATCTCTGCCCATGTACCTATAGATCTCGGTCTCAAAGAATATAACCAAATTTTAGCTTTGTCTTTCAAGGAGAAGGGAAAGAATTTTAACCTAATTGTGTCTATCGTGTCAACTCGACTATGAAAAGTAGTTACGACCTCCTCAAACTCCCTAATATGCACATATGGATTTTCATTCTCTAAACCATGGAAACTAGGCAAAAGTTGAACCATTCCAGGTTTGAACTCAAAGTGTGATGTATTAGGAGGAAACATTATGCATGATGGTGTAGCTGTTCTAGTGGGGTGCAAATAGTCTTTCAAAATCATAATAGGTTGATCCCTGTCTTAACACATGGTTTTAGAATTAAATGATGAATTAGACTTGACTTTCTTCTTTTTGAAAGGGTAGTAGATCTAATTTAATAAACCTCCCTTTTTCGTCTCTTGATCTATTCATACACTCAAATGTTTTTTTTTTTAATGAAAAAAATAAAATTAAAGCAAGAAAGTAAAATAAACTAAAGAAAAGAAACAAATAAAAGAAATAAAAAGAAAAGAAAAGTGAAGAATGTTCAAACTCTAATTGTTGACTTGGCTTCCTTGGCAACAGTGCCAAATTTTTGTGTCTTGCCCCAAAATTAAAACCCTTTGGCTAAGCGGTTATTATAGTGTAGTTTTAGGTGTCAAATCCACAAGAAAGCTATATTAAATCAATATAAAGAGTTGTCGCAATGAGAAATTAAATTAAAAGATGAATTCTAAAATAAAGAATAAAAATATTTAAATAAAAGATGATAATTATAAAAGATTGAAAACAATATTATGATGAATAAGATTTCAGGGTTTACTTAATTGATTTGTTTAATTATTATAAATTTGGATTCCTATTTATTACTCAATTGTATGTTTTACATCCCTAACAAACAATCAGAAGATTTAACTGTGAAGATCAATAATAATAACTAATGTATTTATTTTGAGAGAAATTAATTTCAGTGAAGAACAAACTAATTTATCATTACGAGCTATCCGAGGTGACAATATATCTAATTGACAATATTGCAGTAAAAGATCAACCTGTAAAATAAATTTATCAATCAATTATATTCTAACAAATTACACATAAAAAGAGCAGGACTAATCTTATATGAAATTTTATAAATATAATTCTTAGGGTTTTCTAATCTGAAAAAATAATTAATAATCTCTCAAAAATAAAATTAAACAATAAAATCTATGAAGGAATCAAAATAAAATAACAAGTCAAACTCCTCAATTAAGATCCTCCTTAGGGCCTGTTTGGTGCAGCTTATTGGAGCTTTTACTTTTAAAGTACTTTTCATGAGTGATAAGTTTAAATTTTTATTGGAGGGAAAATTTAAAAGCTGCTTTTAGAGATAAGAAAAAGTGAGTAAAAAGGAAGTAAAAAGGAAGTAAAAAGGAAGTTTATGAAAAACTTGAATTTGAAGCTTTTGATCTTTTATTATTTATGGTCTTTTTAAGGGTAAAAACTGGTTTAAAAATGTAAGTTTTTAGGAGAAAAATTTAAACTTATGTGACATAAATAGTGTCAAGAAGCTGAAGCAGTTAAGAAGCTGAAGCAGTTGAGAAATTGCACCAAACACACCCTTAGCCTTATTGAGAGTTTAGCTGTACTTTGACATAATTTCTAGCACTGAAAAGAAAGAAAATAAAAGTCTAGGAATTGCTTCTCTAGATGCTAAACCTAGTTTTTAAGACTCCTATTTATATTAGGAATAAAATAAGAGTGTTTGGTAACTAAGATAGCAGCCCTGAAGAATTAATTTTATTTTTTTCCTTTCTTCCCACACGGCCTTGTTGGACAGGGGTTGGAACCTCTGTGAGGTTTCGGAACCCCTGATGCTTTTGTTTTGTGCAACACTACCCAGGGGTTGGAACCTGAAACAAGTTGCAGAACCCTTGATGCTACTGGAATCCTTTCGCGCTAGTCACAGCAACTTCACGGACTTTGCTAACTTTGCTCTTAATGAAAAATGGAGAAATTTCACTTAAGCCTTCAAAGTTCCAGATTTATCCTTGGATCCTCATCTTTCCAGCTCTTTGCATTTAAGTCCTTTTCTTCTAATTCTTTTCCATTTAATATCAAACCTTTAATCGCCACAAAATTCGCACAACATGAATAAAATGAACACTTATAAAATTACTTATAAAAAAATACAACTCTTAAGTCCATAATTCCACAAATATAATTGGTTAAACACACTTTAAATATACATTTTCTTTCTTTCATCATATATCCAATTAGGGACACCACTCATTAGTATAAAGTTATTAAAAGAAGCTGGATAGAAATGTACTTTAGGCTTTCAACCACAAAAATCATTAGACCAACCAAAAAATATAGTACTTTTACCCATGAAGAACATGTCAAAGTACGTGTCTATAAATCGTGGTGATACAAGTATAGTTAATGATAAGGAAGAAGAAAATGTAAGTTGGATGGCATAAATTAATGAGCATTATGTGCAACAAAACCTTAAAGCTAGTAGAGATAGAACACCAATTCTAGAAGAAATATTAGGAAAGATTAAAGAAAAGTTCAATGAAGATCCTTTAAAGCTATGGAATAGAGACAAAATAGTGGCAAAAATATAATTAGTAGATCCAAAAAGGATTATTAGGATGAAACCAATGACATATCGACTAGATGATGTTAAGGAATTCACGCAGCAAATAGACAAACTTTTAAAGAAAGGTTTAATACAACCTTCTACTTTGCTCCATAGTTTATTCGTTTTTACGGTTAGAAATCATGCAGAAATAAGAAGAGAAGAAAGACATTAAAAAAAATTAGACAAAATGCTAGAAATATTAGATAATATTATCCTTACTGATTTGCAAAATTGCTAAGATGATATAATAATAAGAGAAGTTAAAACACTCTCTAAGAGTTTATATTTCCTTATTAAACACATGGAAGAAAAATCTTCTATTAAAAAATTTGAATACTATCTAGCTGAACTAATACTAGAAAAGGTATGGTTCACATACCAAAGAGAGGTAGTCTTAAAAAATATTGAAGAATTCATGCCTTAAGATATTCAAGAAAAAAATAACAAATATGTAACCAACTGCAATGAAAAGTTGGTTTATAACTCATAGGTATCTCTATGAGGAATCTATAAGTAATGTAGGTGTCGAGCAAATTTGGGAAGGAAATCAAAATTGGTATTTAGTAACACCCCCATGTTCACCATATGTAGTAGCATGGTTGTTCGAACAAGGTCTACTCAGAAAAATAATCTTCAACGGCAAAGAGATTAAGTATTTGTTCATGTTCTTCCCACAAATAATTAAAGATTCACTCATATGGGAATTAGAATTTTGTCAAAATATGGGATTTTGTCTTGAAGTCTACAGTACACCAGAATGGGGAGAAGGAATCACTTTCATACCCAGTTATGATGTAGTTAGACTAAGAAAGAATTATGGATGGAATCTTCCAACACAAAGAGAAGCAATGGCCTATGGTGAAAAAGAAAAAGAGTTTCTTACCAGAGCAACAGCCAAAGCATTAATAAAAATGGTTGTAATTCTTAGAGAAAGAAAGTATCTAGGATGGAAAACATTTGTAGCCACTAAAAGAATAATTTTGCAGAAGAAAATGCAGAAAGAGTTCCCAAGGAATCAGATAACAACCTAGAGATTCAAAAACATGGTGTGGACAATACAACCCTTGAAATGACAGATGAGTGCAAAAACCACATGCAAAGATATCTCGAACTAGTAAAAGGAATAAACCAGGTTGCAAACGTGGAAGCAAAACTAGCCACAATATGGGATGAAGGAGAATATGCAATAGCCAGAGAAGAGTCAACATCTAGGAACATGGAGGAGGAAATGATAATAGAGCTCAATAATGAAGAAAATATCTTAGAAAATGACAATTATGATGACAGCTCATACTGGGAAAATATGACAGATGAGGAGTGGTACGACATTGAAAACATGATGGAAAAATAAAAAGGTCGTTATCAGAAATAGGACCATTATATAATTGTACTACCTCTAAAAAGGTTTGAAGTCCAGATTTGAAGTTCGAATCATTGTACTAAGATCTTATCTCATAGTAAACTATGTGTAAAATCCAAAGTTAAAGTCTGCCCATATTGCCTATAAAAATGGGGCATGGATTGCGTCTTATAAAGAGGGGGTTAGAGTTAGAATTGGAGTGTTCTATGCCTTGTGAAAGAAAAGAGAGTTTTGAAAATCCTTAGAGTTAAGTGTGAAGTGTGTAACATATTAAGTATGTACTACCTACATTATCTATAATATAATTAAGTGTTTAGTTCTATAATACCTTTGCTAAAATCTTGCCAAGCTATTGTCTCCAGAAATCTTAAAAATTATTCAACTCAAAACTTTGTGTATGCATCTTATTGAGCTACTTGTTGCCAAGTTGAAAGCCGTAAGGAAGGTGTGTTGGCGTTAAGCTCTTAAACTGAGGCATGATAATTTGGGTTGGTGATCTTCAAAGAGGCAACAGACGAAGCAAAGTGGGCTTTAGGTTGAAGGTAAGACCTATTTAAAGAATTATTATATGCTTGGTTAATATTGTTGAGTGTTGCTACTATTTATATCTATCTTAGAATTGTACAGTGACTAACAAAGAAATAGATATATATATATACACACACACACACACATTAACTAAGAGATGAGTTTATGAATTCTACATCACAACAATTGGAACTTATAGTTGATGCTTTAGAGTTAAGTAATAATAGAAAGCTTAATGAAGAGATCGCCTCTTTAAAAAGACTAAGATTTAGACGTCAGAGAAACACTGAAGAATGGGATAAATTGAATAGTATTGAGAACCTAGAGGAAATAATATTTGAATTAGAATGTATAGATGAATTAATAAAGTTATTAGAAGCTACAACTAGGGCTAACAAAATAAAAAGGACTATTAGTGCATGTAGAAGCTAATAGTGATGCAAAAGTTTATTTTAGATTATGTAGATGATGTTAAATTTTATGATCACCAGTGCGAATATTATAGGAAAAAAATAGTAAGAATTTTAGTAGAAATTAGCAATATAGAGGATCCTGAAGAATATCATTTGCCAAAACTTATTCAAAAATTGAAAAAATTTGTAGCAAATTTAAAAGTAGATTTAAAAAGATTGAAGTATGCTAAGCAAATATTATCTTTATTAGCAGCATAAAGTATATTAAATTTGTGTAATTGTATCATTATAAAATAAGTCTATTTGTGTGTGTGTGAAATTTATCCACGTGTAGAGTTTTAGAGTTGAAATTTATTTGTGTGTAGAGTTTGGTATTAGAGTCAAGAGCCTTAGAGTTTTAGGGGTTGGTGAAAAATTTAAGGAAGTTTAAAGACTTGTTAAAAAAAACCAAAATATTAAAGTAACCTTTAGTTAACGGTCAAAGCCAACAAATTAGTCAAAGGGCTAAAACCTCGAAAGATAGTTAGTCAAAGGGCTAAAACCTTTAAAAGGTAGTAAGTTAAAGGGCTAAATTCTTTGGCTTGTAACTTAAAGGGCTAAAAGCTTTAGACATCTGAAGGTTAACGGCTTTTTAGAGATATAAGCCCTGCTTTTATTATCACTGCAATTTTATTTGAAAGTTAACTACAACAAATTGTAGTGAATAGAACGCTATGGAGACTGTTAATCTGTTTTAAGTTGAATGATGAATAGAAGAAAGGAAGACAGTATGAGATTGATAGTACCATTTGTTCATAGTCATATCATATGGCTGAAATTCTTCTGCACTTTCCTTTAGTTTCTCGGAGTGGAAGACTCGAAAGCTGTTGCTTGATGTCAAAGATTCAAAAATTCCTCTCATAACCCTGCCTTCTTTTCCTGGATGACCGGAGGCATTTGAGCTTGCTGCAAAATTCTGCTGTGGTATACATGTTGAGATTACATTATCAAATGTTGCTATGGTAAGATGTGCAACTCATATTCTGGAAATGACAGAAGAGTTTGCAGAGAAGAACCTGGAAAATCGAGCTGAAGTTTATTTGAAGGACATGGTGCTTCCGAATATATCAAATTCAATATCTGTTCTCCACCAGTATGAGAGCCTTCTGCTTGTATCCGAAGAGATCAATCTGGTTAACAGACTTATCAATGCAATTGCAAATAATGCATGCAAAGAGCAGCTCACCTCTGGTTTATTGAAACTTGACCACAATTTTCCAGGAAAATTTGTGCCAAACATGGAACCAGAAACACCCTCAGATTGGTGGGGAAAGTCTCTCATTGTGCTTAATCTTGATTTCTTCCAAAGAGCTCTTCCTACAGTGAAGTCAAAAGGCCTAAAACAGGATATGATCAACAAAATTCTGATAAACTATGCTCATAATTCTCTTCAAGGCCTTGTTATGAGAGATCCTCACTTGGTTAAAGGAGGTCTGCAGGATTTGGAGCAGCAAAGGAAGCAAAGAGTCATTGTTGAAGCAATAATAAGGTTACTTCTGACTCAATACAAGAAGAGTCCGGTACCAATGGCGTTTCTCTCAAGTTTGTTGAAAAATGCAATAGCATCCTCCGCATCCACTTGTTGCAGATCCGATCTGAAAGGGCGGATCAGCCTGCAACTCGACCAAGCAATTCTTGAAGACATCTTGATTCCTTTGAATTCACACGGAAACAGTCATTCAAGCATGTATAACACAGATTCGATCCTCAGGATCTTCTCCATATTTCTGAATCTTGATGAAGATGATGATGAAGATAATCCTTTGAGAGATGAAAGTGAAATGGTGTATGATTTCGACAGTCCTGGATCTCCAAAACAGAGTTCAATTCTCAAAGTATCGAAGTTATTGGATAATTACCTTGCAGAAGTGGCGTTAGATTCAAATTTGTTACCATCGAAATTCATCGAACTTGCAGAATTGCTTCCGAATCATGCTCGAATCATCAGCGATGGATTATACAGAGCTGTAGATATCTTCCTCAAGGTGAGAATCAATTTCTCTGTTTCCGAGTCACAGATTCAAATTCTTGTTCTAGAATAACATCTTTTTTATTCTTTTTAATAATTTACAGGCTCATCCAAACATAAAGGATTCAGAACGTTACCAGCTGTGCAAAACGATCGATGCAGCCACGCAGCACAGAACGAGCGGTTACTGGTACTGATGGCGGTTCAGGTGTTGTACTTCGAGAAAATTCGTCTCGGGAACACGATGAACAACGGCCACAACCAGTTCTTCTTCGACGTAATCAACGGCCAGTTTCCTCAGCGATCGAGCAGCGGAGCGGTGCAATCTCTCTGAGAGACAACTACGCGTCGGTGAGGAGAGAGAACCGGGAGCTGAAGCTAGAAGTGGCGTGGATGAGGATGAGGCTAACGGATCTGGAAAAAGACCACGTATCAATGAAACAGGAGCTGGTGCGCTCCCATCCCGCCAACAAGCTATTCAAATCATTCACTAAGAAACTGAGCAAGCCAAACGCCCTGTTCAGGCTCAACAACCTGAAGCCAATCAACGGCAAGGCGAACTTAGATTCCCGATTCCCGTTCCAGAAACGACAGTGACACTCGATGTCGTGAACTCGTGATGATTTGACGAGGATGGTCATGTGTAAAGAGATAGAGAGCGTGTGTGTGATTTGTTTAGTAGTAATGTGTAGTGTGATAATTAATTAATTTTCGTAGGTTAATTTTTGAATGTGGTTTTATTTCTGATCATGTTTGTGTTGGGAGATCACTACCAACAATTTGGTGAAAACATGTTGTTCTATATGCTTGAGATTTTGTGTGATATTTCAAATATAAGCAAGTTTGGGTTCGGGTGATAAGGTCACGCCCATCAATTATTACTCTCTCTGGTCAAAATTAGCTGTCCAAATGTAAATTTCTAGCTTATATAATACTAGTAGTTCTTAATTTTAACTAACAATATTTTTGTACTTAAAGAGTGTCTTAATTGGAAAAATAGTTAAACTTTAGGTTTAATTCCTTTTTTAGTCCTTCAACTTGAGTGTCTCTTGCACTGATTTTGTCCCTCAACTTCATTCTGCACCTTTTTAGTCCCTCAACTCCAAATTTCTACCCCAAACTTGTCCCTCTGCAAACTCCTGTCAACTCCCACCCAACTTCCGTATTCTCTTACCCAACTCCTCTAGTTAAACTAATAGGCTACTTCAATCTTCCTACATGGCAATTACAGCACTTCCTTTTTGGTGGACCCTAGATTTTGGAAGAAATTGTCTAAAATTTTAGATCCTTTTTCTATGTAATACATGTTTTATGGATCCTAATTATAGGAAAGTCATTGATCTTGAGCAGGAGTGGAGCATGAAGATTGCTAAACATGAAGTATATGTTTTAGATTTTGTTTAGGGTTTTGATTTTTGTGATTATGGCCTTTGAATGGTGGGACTTTTTCTAGTGAGATTTTCCCCTAGGTAGTTTGGTCTTGAGATGCATGACATTAGAGGGAAATAGTCTCCACATATGTGTGGTTATGATAATTATGTAATGTTTTTAAACTTAAGAAATGTTTTAGGGAGAATATTAAATATGTTATGTTATGATTATTTAATTATTTTGTAACATGAAATAGGTTATTGGATTATTTTGTATTATCTAATATTCGTTGCTACTATTCTCCCAGTATTTTGCTGTATACAACCAAATGTCCTTTCTTCTTCTAGTTGAAAGAAACTGTAGTGTTAAGCTCAAAAAGTTTGACATAGACTTTGTGGTGACACTATCTTGAAAGTGTCGACACCTCTCATTGGCAATATTTGCTAGACCATGTTGGCTTTTCAATTTTGAAATTCTGTATCAATGTGGTATTGTTCAATTAAGTTTTCTTTTCTTATGTGTAATTGCGCATCATTAAAATTTTATGACATGGAAGTTGATAGGGAGTTTAACAAGTGGAGCTGGATGGGAATAGACGGGACTTGGATGGGAGTTGACAGAAGTTGACGGAGAGATAAGTTTGGTGTAGAAATTTGAAGTTGAAAGACTAAAAAAGTGTAGAATAAAGTATAGGGACAAAATCAATATAAAACACTCAAGTTGACGGATCAAAAAGAGGATTAAACCTAAGCTTTATAACAAGTAAGAATTGATGAGTTAGAAATATGATTAAATTTGAGAAAGTAGACTCTAAATTGAACGGGTGTGTAGAAGCTACAAATGTTGAAGTAATTGTAACTGAAAAATTATTTGAATTTAACCAAAATCATGATTGATAGATTAAGTTTGGTTGGTTTCTAAACCTTTTTTTGCTAATATTTATATAAGAGGAACTTCAACTTAATTTGATTTTTAGTTGTTAAATTTAAAAACTAAATAATTAATTTTAATTTAGAGTAGTGGTATAGGGAATGAAAATTCAAATAAATAATATAATATAAGTAATAAATTATATTATTAAATAAACTGATATATATAATATTATGGGTTCTTTTAAAGTGAAAAAAATTAAATAACATAATCCATGTTATATTGTTAATCTTAAATTTTGTTCCTATAAAATTCATCCCTACTAAATTAAATTGAAAGGGTCACATGGAACATTAAATTTACATTAAAAAAAAAAAAAAGGCCATTGTTGTGGATCGTTATTTTTCTTCTCGGAGCCACGCAGAATAAAAAAAGAAATAAATTCCTTAAGGACGTCGTGGGAAAGAAACGGCATCGTTTTGCTGGATTTCTTCCTGCAACGCAACGTGCAAAATCCCACTTCCACCTTCCTCTTTTTAATTTCCAGTTCTCTTCCCTTCTCAGTTTTCACTCCCCTGGGTTGAGTTGTGTACTTAGGATAGAGATTGGGATGCGCCCATCTTTCTTCCAACTGGGCAATGCCGTGCCCGTTCCAAAACTTTTCAGGTACTCAATTTTTCTTGACTATGAATGCACATTTTCAATTCACATTTCCCTCCCTTCTTTGTTCATTCCAGTTTCCTAGGGTTTTAATTGTGTTTTTTTTTTTTTTTTGGGTATTCGTGTTTTCTCTATGTTTGGACTAATGGATTCTGGGTTTCCAGAAATTGAATGAAATGATTTCTGTTGTTTGGAGAGTCAGACAAAGAGGAGCCTCAAAGTTGATTTTTTTTTTTAAAAAAAAGAAAAGAATTGCACTTTACTTATTTTTGCAGCTTAAATTGATAAATTTTTCTTAAAAGCTGTAATTGTTGTTAATGGTCTCTTAAGAGTTAAGGCAGCTAGAGCAGGAGATGGAAACTGTGATTAGGGTACTGCAACCTGGACCCTTGGGGATCATTAAGCACAAGTTCTCTGGTGAGGAAATTCGTGAGGCAAATGCAACTGTTCGAAGAGCAGTAGAGAATTGGTGAAGGAATGCAAGCTTAGAGCAGATGAATGAAGTCTTAAAAGATTATATTCCCAAGTGATGGATCATGCTACCAGGCAACATCATCTTCAAAGGTTTGATTTGGAGAAATTGAAACTTTTGTGAAGTGTTTAAACTTCGAACTGTTTCTTGGTGCTTCATGAAGTGTTAGAACAATAATTTAAGTTGGATTTTTAAGGAAAGTTTCTGTACTACCGGTATTTTTCTTGTGTGAGGAATTTAGCTTGGATGGAATGTTAGACAAACCGATTGGTGATTTTTTTTTATATTTACAGTTAGTTTTCCTGGCAGTTCACTTGTTCAAAATGCTTCTACTATTTCCTCTTGTGAAATGTTGTTCAGTGTGCACTGAGCACCAGAGAGGTGACCATACGTTAGCAATACTTGTGCTTTCTTGTTAAAGTTTCCTTCATGGATACAAGAGGGAAGAAAGTTGGATTGCAATAGCCTGCCAAAAAATTCAAGCCACCAAGACACAGTTAACATATCTAGCATGAGGCTGGACCTTCTAGAAAGTAAGTTCCTTTTTTAAGTTAGTTCAGAAAGACAGTTCATTTGCAGCTCAAGGATAAAATGGAAATATAAGGAAGGAAAGAACGAAAAATGACAGATGAGGGAAGACATTGTTTTAGAGGTTCCTACAGCTAGTTGATCTGGTAAATTTCCTTGAAGCTATTTCTTTTAGCCAATATTTCATTTCATTTTGACTTTTAGAACTGCTTCTTTAACCAGCCATAGGATCAAACCATACGTTTCATCTGTATGTTGTGGCATATATCACACCTGAGTTCTTGTTGAAGATTGCGCCCTACTTTCCAGTAGTTACCAGTGTTAGTATTGATTTACTTTCAATCACTCTCTGATCCTGTAGATCATTTCTTTGCTGCTATTTTGATGCTTCTTCTTGAAGTTGGAAGTACATATTCCCCAGTGCGTCTCTATATATGAGGAAATAGACATTTCTCTGAAACATCAAACAGAAGAAATACGCTCCAAAAAAACTCAATCTAGATTATTCTTCTGGCAAAAAAATAAAAAAATAAAAAAAAAATAAATAAATAATAAAAGGAAAGAAGAAAGAAAAAATCTAAATTATTCTCAAAATCTCCAGTAGCGTTGATTGATCATGATCTGATAGGATCAGTTTTCTCTCCTATGATTCTAGATGCCATTTTGTACCATTATCATCTTTGATCACGTGTTTTACAATTGCATATTTTTATGCTCTTCTGTGCATGATAGGAACAACCACAGGCTTCAACAGGACACACAAGATTACCAAATTATGAATGTCGAACTCTTGGGATCTTGATGCCCCTACACAATCTCTATCCAGACACTTTCTGATTAGATTGAAAGATGTCGACGAATACAATTGACGTACAATTAGAGTTCTAAGCATTTGATTGTCCTAGCATCATTCTCTTATTCAATTTTTTTTAAGTACATCGAATAATAAATTATATAAAAAAATTACCTCTTATTTTTTAACTTCTTTTCATTCATTGTAATATATGAATTTGAGATTTTTAAGACAAAAATTGAAATCCTTAATCATTGAGACGTTACTTAGAAAACAGCATGAACATTGATAACAAGTTTAGCAGTTTCAAAACCAAATAAGAAATAATTCACGCACTTGGGCTTTCGGGGCAAGTGACGTCAGGTTACGTATAAGTGCATTCTCTCACCTCACGGCAACGGTTCGAATTTGACCCCATGCGAATTTGTTAAAAAAAAAAAAGAAGAAATAATTCGCCACTGATTTAGACCTTCCAATATTATTGTATTGGTTTCGTCTATTGTTCTGCATTCTTGCTTGTCTTCCAAGAGCAAAATGCAGCGAAAATACTAATTGTGATTACTTTATTTGGGGTGTGCTTGGTCATAGGCGAAACCTTTTCCGAAAAGGTTTTATTGGTAGAATTGCTAAAAAAAATATGAAAAGTTATTTAAGTTTTATAATGAAATTTTATTAAGTTGTTAACTTTGTAGTTGATAAAAAATTAATGTCATGAAAATTAATAGAAAAATTATTAAATAGATTCAGAAAACTTTTTTTCTTATAAAAGGAAAATTTTATGTGTTGAAATTTGTGTCAAAAAAATAAATACTAAAAATATTATTTTTATCATTTATTTATTGTAGTTTTGATGTGTGTAAATACTAAAATATCCTTTCAAAATTCTGGAAGGTAGTATTCCCTGGGAAATTAAACCGAACACCTCTAAATTTTTTCAACCCCAAGAAAAA